CCAAGGATCGAACCACCAACCTTCCGATCAGTAGGTGACCTGCTCTACCTCCTGAGCTACAGCCACCCATGAATTGCCCATAGGTGTGGATGTGGGTGTGAACGTTAGCGCGAATGGTTATCTCTGTCTATGTGTTCACGCTGCGACAGACTGGTGACCTGTCCAGGGTGTACCCCCCTCTCGCCCTAAGATAGCTGAGATAGGCTCCAGCCCCCCGCAACCCTGAAAAGAATAAGCGCAAGTGGATGGATGGATGTGGTATCTGGTTTAGCTGTCATGGCCTCTTCTAGCTCAGCTTAGTAAGCCATTACCATGGAGGAGATGTTGTGGGCTCTTACCGACAGAGCCGCTGCCTTGTAGCACTTATCCATAAGGCTAGACTAAAAGCGGTCTGTCTTGGAGGGGAGGGATGGAGCCGATGAGGATAGAGACGTCCTCGGGTGAAGATGGCTTACTACCAATGGCTCCACTTGCGGCATCTGGCGGAGGCTGACAGACTCCATCCCCCTTACAATCCAGCAGGGAGCTCCCCACGATGGGGTGTTTTCTCACTGTATGGCTTTGCTTTCCACGTCACCGCTATCTCATTGAGTAGCTCCGGGAAAACAGGCAACATATACTTCCCTGGGGTTTTTTTTGCATTTGGCAATTTCTTACCATCAAAACAAGATTTTACAACCCCAGTTTGGACTGCGGGCCACAGATTGTAGACCCTAGCAGCTTCGGACTTGTACATTTTCCTGCACGTCGGCATCCAGGGGAGACGACGGTGACAATTTTTCAACCTCGCTGGTAGCTGAGGGCTTTGCAGCCCAGCGGCCACACAAACCCAGAGACCTCATGGAGCCGCAACCCACAGTGCTCAAGATCAAGCTGCAGTCCACACCACCGCGTAGCACCAGAAAACATACAGAAAGGCCTCTACCAGAGCCCAAAACACCCTCAAGCATGTCTTAGGTAAGAATATATGTACGACCATAAATAACAGTGAACTTGCCTAGATGCTTAGCTACTTCACACTGGGCAAAAGAGCTTTTTTGTTAAGTCAGTCTTGTAGTTCTATTTCAAGATGTTTGAAGATATTCCACAGTGTTTGACAATGTCTCTTTTTCAAGGTTTGGCTGCCTTCGGTAAAAGTCTGATGACAAGTAGCCACAGGAATGGAGAAAGGGATTCCGAAAGTGTTTGAAAGAGGTTGCTTGTTGTTTTGTTTTGTTTTTTAGGAAATAAACTATTTGGCAAATGTGATTTATGACTCAGTGTTGGGCTCATTTTCAGTTATTGTTTGTTGGTTGCATAAAGCAGCACCTTACAGAAGCCATCGAATACAAGGGTCTGTAGAGACAGTACAAAAAGTCTGAACAGGCTAACTATGTAAGCCATATCATTTTCTTCAAAGGGATATCTACTTGTGTGTGTGTTGCCTTGAAGTGTCAGCCTCCGCTCTTGTTTGTGGCTCCCAGACTGTTTTACATTTATATTGAAATTTCCAAGTCCTTTCTGTTCTACTCCTAGCATCTGCACAACACTGAGCTTTAATCCTTTAACCACTGTCTGTGGATGACACCTTGCAAGAAATCTCAATCGCCTTTTGATACATCTATGTAATTTCTGGGGGCAATCGAATCTGAATTCCTCCTCCTATGAATTGTCAATGTCCGGTTGTTTTCTCCAACCTTAAAAGAAAGAGGAAACCAATTTAAGCAGGCTCTACTGAATGGGGAAAAAAAGAATATTCGAGCATCTTTTAAGCACATAAGCAAAACACAAGATTAAAATCAGACAGTTTCAGAAGGAACATGGGCATTAGAAAGCATATTCCCATGTTGACCACCACAAAAATGTTAGTTTTTCAATTTTTACTGCTTTAAAGACACAGCAAAAACCTCTGTTTGAGCAAAACATATAATTTGTTTTGACACTTTCTATAAGCAAAAGTAATATTTCTATGCTTTTTTAACATGGCAAGTGTAAATGGACTGGTTCTTATATAGTGCTTCTTCATACCACCTGGCTGATTCAACTATACACACACACACTCATACTTCAATGAACTCCTCAACTTGTGGTTTCTGAGCTACAAGCCGCGCTTTGAGACCTAAAGGGGAACCATTAACCTGATTTATTATTAGGGTTCAGATTAGCTTTGCAAATTTCAGTGTAAAATAATTTAATTTAAAATTCTTTGGAAACCACTCTTTGCAAAGTCACAGGTCCTGTAATCAGTAACCTTTTTCCCACAGAAAACACCAAGCTCAGCTATGAAATGTTTGGTTCCAACATTTGTTGAAATATGAGCTTAATCTTAATCCACAGAAATGTGTCATGGGCAAAAGATGTACTTGGGAATATTGACATTTATAATATTTAAACTAGCGTGACAGAGTTTTTAGTTTCAAAGTGAAACGACTCAACAACTACTGGATGGAACATCCATATTACACACAGACAGATTCTAACAATTTCTGCCAATCCAAAATGTGCAGAACACTCATTTGGATATCACAGCTCTCTCTGAATAAATTAATATCCATGATATCTGTAGTCTCCATCACCAAATGGAAAACTGAACAATGATGTAGAGCAAACGGCAAAGACAAGAATCTGACCTTTTGTGCTCAGCCACAAGATGAGCTGCAACCCAAAGAGGATGAACATCCATCAAAACTATGACCATTCTGGTAGTGCTGACCTGCAGTCATTGCAGCACTGAGAACAGAGAATCTCCACTCTGTGTGATTTAAGGCCTTCAGAGGGCAATATGGAGACAGGTGTTTGGCGCAGCAATTCTGGATGTTCAGCCTGATTAATAGTTATCAGGCCTATAGACCTGTAGGAAAGCACCTGTGATGAATTAGTGTGGCATGTATTAGAGCTGCTTGAAACAAAAGTATTACTGCTGGATCCTGTTCACCCATTTAATCTCCGCTAGTTTTAAATCAATCGTCTTACTGAAGTTATGCATCCATATGTTGCATACCTCCAGAAACACAGTGATGTTAAGATGTAAATATTAATGGCAGTCTTCGATTAAAGTCTCTTTAGTAGACAGAAGCAGTAATTTTCTCCACTAACTTTTCAATTAATCACTGTGTTAATTTAAAGCCATACTGACAATTTTTGGTGTCAAAAAACAGTGTCCACATTTAGATTCTGTGTTGGCTGATGCTCCTGTCTGCTTGGGGATGGGGAGTAATTTACGGTTGGTCACATACTGTGGATCAGAACAGTTATTTCAGGGAAACAGAGTAAAATACTGTGAGCTGTAGGTCCCCTTCTTTATTTAAAAGGCCAACATTTGTCTGCTCATTACAACAAAGCTTACTTCTTGTGAACGAAGAATTTTAAATACCAGAGTGCTCATCAATCCAAAACAAGACAAATGATCTAAAGGAGAAAATTCATGACTATTGCTTCTTACCATAGAAGGGGAGTCCTGCTAAAATGACACAGAATCTAAGAATTAGAGCCAAACATAATTAGAACTGTTAATTAGCCACTGTAAGAAAAACACCTAATAGGAAGGACGACATAAGAAGAAACGCCTGCTCTCAAAATGTTAAAATGCAAGTACACACACTTTTAATTTGAAGGTTTTATGCATCAAGATAATTCACAAGTAGAATAGATTTGAGACAGTTGACAATCTTCCCAGAAGCGGACATCCCAGCAAATTCACTGCATGACCAGACTGTGCAATGGTCAGAGAAACTGGGAGGAGAAAAAAAGCTCAGCTCAGACTCGGCCCATTAAATGTTACAATTCCTCATGACCTCCTGGATGGTTTGCTTAGAAGGGCTGCCATAAGAATGCCTCATCCTTCTAAAAAGAACACAGCAGCAGATCTTAGATTTGCAAAGCAGCATTTGAATAAATCACAAGACTTCTGAAACAACACTCCCTTTTTACTAGGTGAGGAAAAGTGTTAGCATGTAGCATGTTCTGTCAACCGTTCACACCCGGCCATACAAGAACTTCTTTCAATGCTTCTTCTACAGAAAGGCTTTCTATCATTCACATTCATACTGATGGATATACTTTAGAGACTAACTGCTGATTAGAGTGACTGCCCTGGATGACCTGCTCTTCCTCCTGAGCTACAACCACCTCAGATGCTTTATTAATCATTAATGCAGAATTCCAAAGGACTCAACTTCTCTCTTGCAAGTTTAAGCTCATTAATCATAACATTATGACCACTGAAGTGAAGATGAAGTGTTGTGAACTGATGTAAACAGTTTTTGACCTAGCAGTGAGTTATTGTAAACAATGGTCAGGGAAAAACAAAAGACTTAAACCGCTACTTTAAAGTTCAAAGTTTGCTAGTTGTTCAAGTGACTAAAAAGATATCTGACATTTGCTGATCTCTTTGTAACAACATGCTCTTCTTAACGTTAGCACCCAAGGAGACAACAGATTTTGACACCTTTCATCATGAACTTTACATACCACCACAATTAGTAATTAAAACGGTCAATAACACCAAGTTAAATATCATTAAACAAGTGTTTACTGAGTTCGCTTTAATGGGGAAACAGGAGAGTTGATGCGTAGGCAGGTTGCTGCTACAAGGGACGGGTGTTGAGCACACGGGTCACATTGAGTGGGTGGCAAATACTGTGACTCAAGCACGGCTGGACAGTGTCAGGTCTTCCTGACCCCTATAGGGCAAAGGAATAGAGCGGGGAGTAGCTGAAATAGTAAGACTGTGACATGCCTCCGCCAACACACAGTCTGCCTGAGTGGACACCGTAGATAATGTGCATCAAGGAAAGTCTGTGTGGAACAACCAGAAAAAAGTAGCCTGGAGCTCTGTACCATTTTAAAGCACAGAAGAAATAGTGGCTGCATTTTTTTGCAAAAAGAATCCCTTTACAATTCAAGCTACTCAGGTTACTTAGTTTTGGGTTGGCACACACTGTGAACACAGTAACTGGGTTAGAATAAGTAGGAAAACAAAGTGCCTACCAAGAAATAAATAAATAAACAATTCCTCACTTCTATTTCTAACTATTGGGGCCAAGAAAAAACAGCCTCTGTTGGGTTTATGTTTTATTATTGTCATTTATGCTTAGAAATTTATAATCATTTATGCTTAGAAGTATATAAATGTTTGTAGACTGATAGAGGTTTGATCCTTAGCAGTCTGTAAAGACTGTGTGTGCCTTCCAGAGTGTTCTGGCATGCACACACACCCCCTAAGGTCATGAGGGAGGTCTTCTCTTCTTGATTTATACTATAGGAGGACACCTACTCTGTATCTGCTTAAGTATAAGGGCCTTTTGTTTAGGTAGACCGCTGGACTCCTGGCACCAGCTTTGGGGACTCTACACAGGGTCACATCTTGATCCCACACACACGCATGCCTATACGTACACACGGACAAGGTACTCTTTGTTCACATGTATGCCTGTGTAAAACGTCATATGTTAATGAACTTGTGCATAGTCATGTAACCACAATAAAGAGCAGTGCTACGAGGGAGCAGACAAGAGCAACTGGGGTCAAGCGAAGGAACGACGCTCATCACAGTTCTCTCCCTCGTGCACGAGCAATACAAAGAACTTTGCCGACTTGTGTCTTGCTTTGCTGTTGTAGTAGAATTGTCTCGTTCAATCGGTGGGTCTGTGCTAGACAGACCCATCAGCCTCCTTAGATAAACATTTTGTTTCTGCCATGTATGCAAAAATTTTTAATTCATCAAAGTTAGTTGTTACCTGAATAAATTAGCAATGATTTCCAAACTATGACTAAAATGACAACTAAAAGAAATTCATAATTATCCCAGTTCATCATGTAATTATCCTACATTCCACCTCATAAATAAGACAAAAGGTTCTTAACCAGACATGATACCAAAATAAATAAATTAAAAACCCCCAGCAGAAACTCCTTATTTGTTACAAAAATTCACCTTGTTTGTAAGGACAATTTTGAAATATTTGTATGTATATTGATGAAGTATATTGAGATAGACGCTTTTACTTATAACATTCTGTTGTACCTGCTGAAGCCAAATTAATTCAGTCTTAGATTTAAGGTCTGATAACTAAAATTAATTAATTTAACGTTAATGTATCAACTAATGTTTAAGCAAACATATCTCATACATAGATGCAATAAATGTGTGCATATGAACAGAAATGAAACAAGAGCTTAAACACCGCAAGAGAGGATTGAAGCAGAAAAAGCCTTAACAAAGCAGACTCCTCTAGTCTGCATGCCTACACATTCCTTGGGCAAGATCCTGAACTCCAAGCTGCTCCAATCCATCCACTAGACTGAGTGTGTGCACAAATGTTCAAAAGTGCTTAGATAAAAGTACTCTATAAATGAGTGTGACTGGATTAACAAGAAACCACCTCAACTATGTACCGGTTACTTTACCATTTAGTACAAGCTAACTAACTGAACACATAGTAATTGAGCCCAACAACACTGACCTTCTTTTCCTTTATTAAAAAAAATATCACTAATGGTTTACAATGGTGCTACAGGAGGACTGGAAGATAAGACATAAAAAAAATGTATCAACTTCAAGTTTGTTTTAAGGTAGTAAAATATTTTATAGAAGCAGAGAAACAGGTTACAGCAGAGTGAGGAGGTTCTATCACAAAATAAAGGGGGAAGTTAGAAAGAAAAAATAGGCAGGCTTGGTGTCCGTTTCAGAAGCCACTGGTTAGAGATGAATATATCTAACTGCGTGCAGACCCCCACATCTTTTCACGGCCTCATCCTCTTTGTCCTCCAACCAGCCACATCCATCCTTTATTTCCCCACCGCCTTTTATTGCTGCCTCCTCCTCCTCAACTCCTCCCCTCTCTGCAGGTCTTCCAGAATAACAACAGCTGATGACGGGCATGACTGAACTCAGCCGAGAGCAGCGCGGAGAGGCTGAATTTGCCTCCTTTTTGGATATTTGTCTTGTGTTTTGCTAGGTGGTAAATGAGCGAGTGTGTGCATGAGTATATGTGCTCCACCAGCACCCACAGCAGTGGAGGGAGGAGACAACTCTAAGCGTGAGCGATGTCGTCTCCCCCCATCCTCCTCCTGCTCCTCCTCACTTCCTCCCTCCCCCCTTCTCTCGTTCTCATGCTGCTTCTAATTCATTGCCATGGACATCAGGATCCGTTCTCGCTCTCTTGCCATCATTCTGCTTGATTATGCAATGCATAGTCCTCCCACGATGACTAACTGGTGTTGGAGAACCACCGTAACAGTGCTGTCACTGGTGGTAGGCGCACATCCATAGTGTCATATCGATTGTCTGACACCCCGACTGCTTTTGGTTTTCTACAGAAATCTGCTCCATGGGAATTTACAGCTTTTCCTGCTCCTCTGGAATATCACCTGCCACAGACCGCTAATTCGGGGAGCTGCATGTTCTTACCAAGCTCAGAGGAAGCTTGGTGACAGAGAGACTCTTATCAGTTCATTCAGAAAAAATAATCACATTGCTTGCAAGGCTTTTTTTTGTTTTGTTTTTTTTGTTAAAGGCATTCATTGCTAATAGAGGCCAGTAGAAAACTGGGGAGAGTGTGTTACAGCATAAGGTGTAGGCAGGCAGGGGGGTTTCAGCAAAGCCGTTACAGGGAAATCAAGAGAAGGAGCAGACGGTCAGTATAGGAGTAATTCAGGGGAGGTGGGAGGGAACAAATGAGGAGAACCCCTCTCCTCTCCACTACGCAGAGGCTGCTGGTGCTTTAGCAGCAGCAAGGCAAACCTGCTGATGAAAAAAAGGAAAAAAAAAAACAAACTGGCAAGACAAAGGGGGAACTTAATCAGAAGGGAAGTTTGTGGGTAGGGTTGTTGAACTTGACAGGTGGCGCTATAGACAGGAGAAGGGGACAAGTGTCACAAGGAGGTTTTCATTGGAAGCGTCGCTGAGCACCGAGAAGCTGTCGTGGCATCGCCGTCTCTCTCCGCCACTTGGTCTGTCGCTTATAGGCACTGGAACAGTCTTTACCCAGCCTCCCCACCTCTTTTTTTCCCTCCACATGTAGAATGCCCTTAAAGCCATGGTTTTTCTGTGAGGACCCAAAAAGCATGCCGGATGACGATGTCTTACACCTAAGGCGCTTTAGGGTAAGCCACTTTCCCCTTCCTACCCTATTGCTTTTGACTTATCTGAATTTAAGAATAATTTTCCAGACTTGAAGGGAAAGAGTGTGAATGTTATTCTATTATAAACCCAAGGATAGAAATATCCTGTTCATCTTTCAGACAACATCGTTAGCTTCTAATTCTTACCTTCTAAGACTTATCCGTAGGGAAAATGGGAATTATGCTCAGAACAACTACTTCAAGGAGCCCGGGATAGGGGGGATTATTAATTTAAGACCTATACAGAGGAGGTGGGTGTAGCATGCTCAATCTTTGAATCAAACTTATTTTAACATGGAGAATGCCAATGAGCATCATTGCTAACAATTTAAAAGCTTCATTCCAAGTAATCCTAAAATGAGGCTGACTAAGTGCTGGCTTCTAGCTCACAACTGAGGAGCTCAGCTACAATCTGTAGCAGGTTGTAAGGAGCAGTCTTCAAAGACTAATCTCCATTCCACTCTATGGAGCCATTGTTGTATTTGATTCATGATTAATTTTCCTGTGGCTGGTGGGGTGGGAGGGATTATGTTGGTACTGCCTGAACCAGGGCTGTTTGAATGTGTTTTTTGAGCAAAAACTAGCAGATTAGTAGTACAGTAAAAAGGATGCAGCTGAGCAATGAAAAGACACCCAATTATGGTTTGATGTTACTTTCAGTTCTTGTCTGACATAGTCCCCTTCACTTCCTTTTATTCCAGATAAGTGCACCCTTGCCAGGTTAGGTGAATAACAGCACCATGGGTACTACAGTCATCACCCTTGATGACGTCCGGGCACTGGAGCTCAAGGAGGAGCAGGAGGAGTCCATACTGGCCATGCTAGGCATCATTGGCACATTTCTTAACCTGTTTGTAATCGTTTTTGTTTATATCTACACCACACTGTGACATACCAAAACTGAAGAAAAGGATTTCTAAATCAGAGAAAATATGCAAGAAAAGTTGAAGTGGGCAGTAGTGAAGGACGGGGTTAATTAGAAAGCCACACATGTTTGAGAAAGACGTTTGAAATGAAAGTCTATCCCAGAGAGAGGAGAAAGGAAATCAACAGACTGGTTAAAGATGTAAACAAACAAGCCATATTGCCAAGCCACAGCCATGAGCCGACAAGATAACAAAGGGCTGGGAGACATGGCAGGAACAGGACTAGGCTGGAACCAGGGTATGCCAGATGGACATCATCAAGCTCCCAGCCAGGACTGACTCTCCCGTGTGGCCCAAGAGGAAAAACAAAATTTCCCTAGATCAGATTTTTTTTGGACTGTTGTACTTACTGGAAAGAATTGTTGTAGAAAACAGATATATTTTCTCTCTTTTTAAATTCAAAACTTTGGGGACCATAATTGCTACTTGTCTGGAAGGAGTTCTCAACAATATGATTAAAGGCAAAGTCTATAAAGTGACAACTGGAAGCTGCTTCTGGAAACACTCCTGGTCACCTGTAAGTCTTCAGGGCCACAAAATGTGTTTGATTCAGGGCCCTTACAGTAATACAAATCAGCACTCTTCCTAAGCAATGTGGCTGTACAACAACTTCCGACAGACCGGCAACTTCACATCATGTGTACCACAAATTCACACTATACTGAGGTGTTCTAGAAGTGCTTCCCAAACCCCAAAAGTGTGAAACTATTTTTGATAATACACAGGTCTTACACAGAAGTCACAGTTGCAAGACATTAAGGAATGGGATCAATTTGTAATTAAACTGTGTAGTTTCCATTTGAAATGGGGCTTATATTCTTTCTTCATCTCTGTCCATCTTTGAAAGTCGGTGAGTGTGAGTAAAATGTGTCAGGTGCAGAGGGATCGCAGAGGTCTCTTCATTTATTTGCTCATATTCATTTAAGGGTAGTGTCAGCAATCATTTTCCTGTATTAAAAAGCTTTTGATAAATATCTGAATAACGTCTAGATGTATTGTGGAATTGGAGGACATTTGAACAATAAACACCCAAGAATAACAATAAGAATGAGTTTCCAGCCTCATCTGTGAAAACCCCCAAGGTGTGTGCGTAGAAGGATTCGTGTATATAACTTTACATGAATGGGATCTAATTACAACAATGATCACTGGTGGTGGCATCTTACGTCTCACCCTTGCCCTGATCCACTTCAAAGTGCTCATCTACCCATTTTAACTGCAAGGAGGGAAGCGTGTGGTAATAGAATCTACAATTCCACGGGTGAGCAGCGATAAACTGCAAATTCACAAATCCACAGGGACATTGTGGTAATGAATGAAGGTGGTGCTGTGGCGTATTTAGCTTTCACCTTGTACTGATGTCAATAATATGCCTTGTGATGTAGGAAATCCTTGAAGTGTGTACGGGTTTGTATAGAGAACAAAAGACTTTCTGTGCACAAGGTCAAGCATTTCATTCAAAAACATTGTTTTCCTTAGCCTGCTGTGAAAAAACAGTTAAAACAAATGAGTGGACAAACTGTGAGGCCTATGCATTTGGAAAACACAAAGGAACTGCTTTCTTTGCCACATGATGAATCACTACCGACCATTACTCTCCTACATTATGCTAATGTTTAATCAGCAGGAATGATGCACCAAAATGGCCATTAACTGCATACAACATATTTTAACTTTAAATCATATCTGTTTGAGACAAACTGGAATTAAGAAGTAAGGTGGAGGGGACATGTGTCATTTCTATTTATGAAATGGATTCCAGATTACTTAATTCCAGTTTTGAGATGTATGCAGAGATGGCAAGGAGTGCAGACATATTTTAGTTCAGGGGAGTTATAAAAAAACAAAACAAAACCTTGTTAAAGTTGACGGACTAATTTAATATCTTTAGTCAAGTAAAAGTCAAAAACCTATGACCTACAGAAGATTATCTTGGTGGACAGGCTGAGATTAGTTGACCTGTGCTGCTGCTGCTCTGAGATTTACTGCTCATTAAGGATATACATAAGATGTAAACAGATGTTTCACGAGCCATCTTTGCTTAGACTCCAGCCATGATCAGTATACTGTTTACACTGCCCTTAAACTAGATCATATCAAGCTTGCATAAAGTTAGAATTAAGTGAATTAAAAAAGAAATCTAAGTATCATCTAACCACCTAACAGTAACCATGACCAACACAGCCATTGTGCACCAATTCAGAACAGTGCTTTACTATAAACTCACCACAGTATGACAAGCTAATCAATTTATCCTGCACATCCTCCAGATGTTGGATCTTCACGATCTAATACCCAATCTAAATCAGCACCATGACCACAATTATGGACATTTTCAACCAAAACACTGTTCCAAATCGTTTCAACCTAGTTAACCTCAACTCCTCAGTATAGCACTATAAATGATACATAAAGTATGTATTTGCATCTTTAATGTTTTTGTATGTGATAAGCCAGTGATACACAAATAATATCGTATTTTGTGTGTTATTGTTCATCCATTTAGGATCAAATCAGTTTAAAGGTCTGAAGGCTCATACTGATGCCAACAATCTTTCCTCAAATGTGTTAAACCCTAAAGTTACAAGCCTGTTTCGAAAATATGAGGAGTAAAAAGAACAGATTTGTGTAAATACTCAAGTACAATTAACAAGGTACATTGTCAGTTCCCACCTTTGGATATTTAAAACAAATCTCCCTCTTACTCATTGCAGTGGTAGGCACTGTAGGACTGCAATCTTCTGGACAGATACCTCTAATGTTAAGCCTGGAATTACACTTCCAGTTTGGCAGTTATAGATCCTAATGCTCCTAATCCCACTGGGACCACTTAGAACTTAACTTTCTACACCTGTTCCAGTGGTTCCTGCAGTCCTTGATACTTCTCTATTTTCTCGTGCTCCTCCTTCCTGATGTTGTTGTCACATCTATCAAACCTACAGTCTTCTGCATCTTCTCAACCACAACTATGTCTGGTTGGTTGGTCACAGCTGCTTCTCTGTGTGAAACTAGAAATTCCACTGGACCATCGCCCAGTATTTAATTTATCATCACCTTTAGTGGTGTCCCGTATTGGTTCGATTGGGGCTTGAGGACTTCTAATCTCTATGCATCACAGATGTTTTTGGACACTATAAGCCACTTGGTTGCGCCTCTCAGTGTACATAGTCCCAGCTCACATCTTCCATCTTGCTATGTGTTTGATAGTCTCTGGGGCAGTCTTGTAGCTGTCTTCCTTTTTACCATGCTCAGAGCACCTCTGTTCTGTCCTTCCTAGCCACTGGTAAGATTGATGTCAGCCACTTCCCTGTATAAGTCAATGGTACATCCCATGTGGCGGATTAAAACCAACCAAGGCCCTGAAACCAACTAATCTTCACCCTCAACCTTTCAGGTATTCGCATAGCAGCGCCCTTATTTGTGCAGTCAAGCAATCAAGGAGTGCTGTTAGCTTCCTCAGCTAGTACGGGTCATGTTGGGTTCTGGTGCTGTTCAGGTCTTTATTCTGGACACTCGTTGTTTCTGCTCTGGAAGATTGCTATGGTACGCTCAATTTCAGTTCTGGCTGTGTCTTCCATTGTGAAATTGCTCCCTTGTAGCTGAAAGTATACTCTGAATGGATCTTTGGCAAGCAGGCCATTCATTTTCTTGGGCTTTGCTTCTCTGGCATTTCTTCAACCTTAGTGGGCAGAGTTTCGCAGTTTTTGGTTCTTCAGTTATCAAAAACTTGTTGTACCTCTTTTATATTCAAGACATGACCCAATTTGAGCAAGCATTTGGCAATAGTGGGAAGGGAAAACTCCATTTAACAGGAAGAAACCTCAGACAGAACTGAGATTAGGGAGGGGCACAATCTCCAGAGAGACAGAACAAAAGACACTGCAGAAGAGAGCCAGAGATGAAAAGTAACTAATGATTAAATGCAGACAGGTGTATAAACATACAGTAAATGAAATAGGTGAGTGAAGAAGTAGGATAGTCCAGAATGGGAAGCTCCCAGCTGCCTATTGCAGGGCAACAAAAGGAGGATAAAAGTTCAAGACCCTAAGATCCCTCACATTGTTACTTGAGAACAAGGTAAGGCAATGCAAGTATCTTTTTTGACACCAGGAGCAAAAACCCCCCAAACAAACAGCTGAATTATGTTAGTGTTAAAAATTCTGACACAAAGTATGTTTTAGCCAAAAATATGAAAAATCTTATAAATATTTCAGCTATATTTAATAAATTGTCTTATTAAAAAAAGGTTTTATTTTTCAAAAAGACATATTTTGTGTTTTGGACCATGCTGTATTTAAAAATGAGATGACAATGAATTAAGTGCTCCATCTCTCAATGTGTGTTAAAGTGCCCGTTATAAATGTTACCTCAAGCCAGTTATCAGATTTGAAAGAGGCAATGAAGGCTAAGTTGTAGAATGAAGAAACTTAAACTGCCAGTTAAGGATACTACAGAACATGGCTAAAAAAAGAAACAAAAAGAGCAACATTTTACTAAAAGCTTCACAGACTAGAGTATATTAAAAAAGGACGCAAAATTTCTATGGGACTGTATTTTTTCTTGTGCGCGTGCAGTTAATGTGATGGTAATTAAATAAGCAGAGCATAGACAATAACGTTAGAGAAGCAGAGAGAACCAGTGTTCACTACAGTCAGCTCTGGTCAGTCATTTATTCACACCTTGGACCTCCTGGGCACCTGGCTTTCATGTAGAAGGTGGTCCAGCTGCTCCCAGCTTCTATTTGGCAGGACACACCATGATTTCTATTAACTCTAATCAATGTCTACTACATGACATTATACCTATGTGCTATTAAGCTGGGTGATAAATATATCAGTTTTAAAAGTATTACAAAGGACATGCTTTAACACAGCATGTGGAAACACTTGGATTTAAACACAAGTCAGAGGCTTTTACCAGATAATGAGGAGTAATTACAACACTCACAATGCTATTTATCAGCTGTTATTTAATTATGAGACCAGGGGCACATTAATACAAGCCAGCATGCATGCTTACATACTCCTGCAAAGTGAAACAACCAGCAGCATTAGGCACACACAGGTAGCATACACTCGCTGTAACAGGCTCTGGGATGATACTAGCACTTTACTAGTCCCTAAGGACCCCAAAGCGCTTTACACAACCAGTCATCCACCCATTCACACACACATTCACACATGATGTGTCGCCATCACCAGATGGCAAGCTACATTGTAGCCACACAGCCGCCCTGGGGCGCACTGACAGAGGCGAGCCGGACACTGGTGCCACCGGGCCCTCTGACCACCACCAGTAGGCAACAGGTGAAGTGTCTTGCCCAATGACACTCGAACCGGGCTCGAACCGGCAACCTTCCGAGTACAAGGCGAACTCCGAACTCTTGAGCCACGATCGAGGATATAAGCAGTGGGCTGACCTAACCTTAACCGTGCCGCAGCTCACTGTCTACATTCACTTGCATTCATGTATATATTTATCTGCTTAGCACTTTTCCTTTTTGAAATTGGGGTTCTCTCTTTGCTATACAATATAAAATTACTCTAAAGTCCCTGGAATCCAAGATTTCATGCCAAAGCTGTAGCTTTGTCTTCTTCGCAAGCTCCTTTGACTTTGTTTTCAACAGTATCCCTGATAGACTCTTGCAAGGATCTAACAAGATTATTTTCAGATCACCTTCCAGTAATCACATTAACCACATACACATGACATGGGTGTGTATTTTCCGTAGTTTGAATGCATTTAGGTATAAACAACAACGGACACGTTTAGCCAGTGAGCATGCAGCTATGGTTAATTGTGTAAACAAAAACTTTAAAGTGACATATAGGTGTTACTTCTGTTTATCCCTTTTTAACCAAAAAAGGATAAATGGCTTCTCACTGACGTTCAAGTATATGTCACTTTAACAGTCTATTATATTTCTGGGAGTTCTCTCTATGTCCACAGAACACCGAGTGTTAAGTAGTAGACTGCTTTTCTGTTTTTTGCTTCCCAGGTTGATAGCAATCAGTTAAATTTATCATTTTTGAAAATTGGTCTTTTTTTTCTTCTTTTTTTTAAAAATCTGCCCAGCAACACAAATGCCAGAAACCCTTCAAGAAATTGATTTCATGATGTTTTCGAGTATGTAAAATCTAAATAATGAAACATGGAGTAGTAAGACTTCTTAATGACAGATTTCTAAACACATACTGTAGGAGCAATGATAACCAAAAACTTATCAAGCCTATTGGAAGTATGCAGCTTTCTGCATTTTTATAGTGGGCAAGCTAGATTCAATTACAGGATATTACATTGTGCTTGTCACAGACTTACTTGAGTTGATCAATATTCTCAGTGAAAAATGTAAGTTACTATCAAGAAGATAGTAACTTACATGTTACTTTTGGTAAGATGCATACCAGGTCTCAGCAAACAGACTGTAAATAAAGATGTTATGAAGACTCAAGGTGACTTGAGCCGTAAACTATCCCCACCTTGATGTCTAATAAAAAGTGAAATGTTTATTTTCATTCTCGTGATTGCATTCTCAGTTGTTCTATAGTTCTGTGTCATTAATCTCTTAAAAACTCAGCTACCATCACTTATCAGCAGTCTCTCCTTAGAGAATTTAACATGTTGCCTAAAGGTCTGTGTCATGTTTGATGTAAACCACAAAAGTCCTATTTCCTTTGTGTGGGTAAGCACTATTCATTTCAGATCTAAGGGATACAACATTATTTTTACAGATAACCCTTTCATGTCCACTTCAGTGTGACAGTCATCTTTCTTGCTTAGTGTTTATGGTAGAAATCCCTACGTGATCACTCTGTTGAGCTGAAATATACAGAGGTTCAAATCACTTCTCCTCAGCCAACCGGTGGGGCCTAGGAATCAAGGTGAACAGAGGCTAGATCCGTTTCTCTGTTGGTCATACTCATCACTTGCAAAGACACGGGCCCTACCTGAGTCGTTGCGTAGGTAGGAGGACATAGCGGGAATGAGGCAGGACTGGCTCAGCAGCTCCAGCAGCACTGCTGGCAGTGCTGAGCTGTTGTGAGCTCTGCTGGCTGTTGAAGAGGCATCAGCAATGTGGCAGCCACTTGAGCCTGCTGGGTTGATATAGCTTGCCAAGACCTAGTAAAGAAAAACAAATGCAGACAGAAAAAAAAGCTCCTTTTAAAATTTACCCTTTATGAAGAAAAGCGTTCATGTGACCTGCTCTGGATGAGGGAGAATCCATGTTTTTGATCACTGTGTGTCTTCAGATGTCCCTTCCTACACACCACAGCTGCCAGGATGATAAACATCCCTCTTTATTGGGAATCAAATATATGCACCAACTTTTTTGTTGGGTGCTCATCTCTCACTATGACAAGGCACAGTAAGTAACATCAAAAGAAATTAAACATAGCTAGATATGATACCTTTGCGTGGTTCATGGTTCAAATGAATCCTTACTCATCTTAAATTGAGCATTGCTGCAGCCCTTTTTTTATCCCCTGCCCGAAACAAGCCGTTTTAGTTCCGTCCATTTAACCCAGCTGTCTGCTCATTATTTGCGTCTTGTAGTTTGGTCAGTCTGTTGGATTTGAATACTATAGTGCAAGTTTACAAAAAAATTAATGGGTTCATTTATGGCTCATGTTTCATAGGAAATACCAGGCAAAAATAACCCACCTTAAAAAAAAATGCTCATTTGCACTTACCTGGAGTAGACAAGTGACATGCTCTTCCTCTAGCCGTTGCTTGGTGAGGGCCTGCTCTACGTCCCAGCCTGACGCTGTAGATCCAGTACCAAAACCCGTTCCTTTAGCCCAGTACAGCTGTTGCTCCTCACTGGTCCCCCCACCATGACAGCTGGATATCTGTGGCTGCCCCACACACACACACACACACACACACACACATATTTACAATATCAATACACCAAGTATATATAATTAATATAAAAATATTAAATCAAAGATTTTGCATTTTTACTTCCCTTTAACAATTATTAATGAAATTCAGGCGTAAACACTGTTGCTGCTTTTTTTTTTAAAAAAAAAAACAACAACATATGGACATATGGTTTTATCATGTATTCAAAAAGGTCAGAGTTTGTTGTGGCCTACAAAGAAAGCTGCCATAAAACATTTGTGATGGTCACATGGAGTCAAACAAGAAATGAGTCAAAGGAGCAGACAGAAAATTGGTCCCTGAAGTTCAAAGTTAATGTTTTGTTCAATTGTCTCTCATGTTTAAAACACAGTGTCTTATCTCACACCAGTGCAACCGCTCCAGAACATGGGTCTCAGGAGATCAAGGTCAACCACTGCCAATGTGATGTGTTTGGCTCAGATTTGTCTATTCACACAGTCCCTGAACAAGCATGAGACCGGACACATCACCACCACAACAAAAACAAGGCAGGTCTGCTTCAGGAACCCAGTGACAACACCTCCACTCAGGGGGGTGAAAAACTCAAGCTATATGCTTTAGCTAGATATGTTTTAATTTTTTCAGTTTGGTGTTTGAAACATGATAAGAAAACAGGTCTAACTGGTTTATTCTTTTTCTGGGATACCAAACCATTGTTGACTCTGTTCTTACGCCTCTCTTTGAGGCCCCTTCAATTTATAAATTACAAAAAAAAAACGCCAAGCAGAAACCAGCAGCGCTGAAGGCCTACACCTGAGATCACAGTAACTATGATTTCAGATGTGACCTCTGCCATTCGCACTAGGAAAAAAATCATATTGATTTTTCCTACACATTAACACAAGCTGCCATTAAATGCATACAAACACAAACCAGGCTCTCTCTTCCGACTTTATTTAAAAACCCATTGATGCTATATTGCTGTCAGAATGGTTTGTAAATTGCTCTACATTTGTATGTAAAGCACATCCTTAATTTTTTTGTTTCAAGAGCTAAACGTCCATATACTCTGCACTTAGGGCTGTGCGATATGACCAAAATCTCATATCCCGATATAAGACATCTATCGTCCCGATAACGATATAAATCACAAAAATTTAACATTTTCTGTAAATTCTGTGAATATCGGGCAGCTCGACTTGTGTGAAGAGTTTCCAGCTGGGCGTCGTGTAGCTGGAGTCGAGTGTTTTAACCGAGGCATGAAACTATACATTTTTAGACATAAATTGTAAAGGCCGCTGTTTTCTGTGAGTATTTATTACACGGCGTGCTGCGGGGAAAAGCCTGTTCTAACGTTTGAGTCTAAGGTTTATTTTTTAGCACCTGGCGGCTCTTTTTTAATTCTCATCCGTAAATAATCTGCTCTTTCACGTGATTCAGTTTATTTTGAAAAGTCTCAACAGGATCTTGAGCTTTATTGTGAAAGGTTTATGCGGAACATAAACAAGCCAACATGTGATGGTTTTACTGTCGTTGTTGCTGACGACAACGCATAAAAACCAATGACTGTGATCAAAACAATGAAAAAATATTGCCATAAACTGTTTATTTTGCGACACCATGAAACAAACAATAGCGTAAAATGAAACGATAGACGTTTTTATATCGTCATCTGATATATATTGTTATATCGAACAACCCTATCTGCACTTCTTCAGGTCATAGAAGATGTGTAGTTAGCAGAGTCAGGAAAGTCGAGGTGAGGTACTACCCGTTTCTCCCCCTGCAGACAACAATTATACAAAAGACATCTCGGATGCACAGCCATTTCTCCCTGCAGTTGTTTGTTTTTTTTTATCATTCACTATGAACAATTAAGCCATTTGCCAGGGAAAGGTACGCTAAGGAAGCCGTAAGTAAAGCAGCAAGACAGAGGGTCATTAATAACTGCAATCGTTTTTATCCTCAGTTTCTCCATTACTGCCAACAGCAAAACACTCGGGCAAAGTGAGAGTAGCCAGTGGCATGAAGCTGGGTTAGTCTGACAGAAGTAAGAAAATGACACAGGAGCTGGACAGGACTCTCTTTTCTTAGACATCTCACAGGCTGGTGAAAGGCTCAAGAAATAATTCACAATGCAACACTGACAGGAACCTGTCATCAGCCACAAATTTAAAAGAGCCAAAATGTATCGTCAGGGACAATTGACGATTAGAAACAGAATGTATGTGTGATATGGGTCATACCTCAGAGACGCTGGTATTGGCATTGGGGTTGCGAGGGGCGTGGTGGCTCAGAGCTGACAGACAGGCTAGAATGAGGTGGATGGCACCGATTTCCAGAGCCATGCGACGCAGAAGCACGCCGTCGTCTGTGGTCAGAGGAGTGCTGCTGAACAGTGCTCGCAGGACATGGAATGGTAGTGTGGGGAGCACGTTGGCTGATGGAGATTGCAGGATGTGACCTAAGAAGATGTCAAAGCAGACACAAGAAGGTTTTGATGCTGCTTTTATATTTGTTGTTTATATTTGTGTTTTAGTCGATTAAATCACACATAAACAATCCATTTTTATTTTACTTTTCTTGAAGGGGGGGCAAAAAGGAAAATAAGACACCGGTGTTAGAAAACAGTAAATTTTATATTTTAGTAATTTGGGGACAGACAGGAGAAATATCTGTGTGCAAAGGATCTTTGCAATAGCTTTCTTTCAAATAGCTTAGCAATTCTCAAACTTTTTCTGGCATTAAATACTTCCCAAACTAAAAGTTCAAAGGTGAATTTCAGTGTGGACAGCTGTGACGTGTTTTCAGACTTACTGCCTTCTCCATCGTCTGTGACACCCAGCACCAGCCGCAGCAGACACTGGGCATGTTTCCTCTCCTTTAGCAACACCTCTGCGTAACCTGGCAGGCGCAGGAAGAGGCCAAAAGCTGCCAGTGAGTGGGCAGGGATGGGCGACATGGTCTGCACTGAGGATGATGACGATGAGGATGTCTGGGACTGTTGTTTGTTGATGGGCGGTGGCTCAGCTGCAATGGACTCTGGTGCCTCGTACACCAGCTCACCCGACTGCTCTATGGTCACCCACTCAAACTGGTCGCTGTCCTTGGGCTTCTCCTGTGTGCTGGAGGGAACCACCGGAGCGCTGACCTGTGAACAACCGCAACGACGAGTAAAGGCTCAGCGAAGGTGTGAAATGCAAGACAATGCTGACAGGTGAATTTAGGAGACACACAAGGCTCTTTATCAGGGCAGAGGAGCCAGAGCAGGTAAGCTCAAAACATTTGTTGTGAAATAAAAAGTTAATACTAAAGACCTGCTGTATGTATGCAAGTTGTTCAATTTCTAATTTTCTGTGCCTCTTGAAAGCTGAGAGTTTTACCTGCTGAATGACATCGGGGTATAGCATGGGTAGCCTCTCCGCTATCAGGGCCAGGCCCCCCATGCCAGCAAAGACTTGCAGAGGTGACTGAATGGGACTCGTCTCCAGCAGGGACTCATCAGCTGCGGCATCCAGACATTCTTCATTAGGCATCATTGGTTCATCCTCAGGGCAGCTATTCAGGATGTCACAGTGATCCACTGCAAGTAGAGCAAAGAGAGGACCTTGTACGTTCATCCACTGGCTGAGACTGAAAACAATTTCAAGCCTTTTGTTTGTTTCAGCAAACTCTTAACAGTTCAAGTAATCTCCTGTAAATCCACCTGCTATGTTTGTCTTAATTCTGTCCATAATAAATATGTTTACACACATTATTGTGCGATATGTTCTGAGGTTCAACCACACCATACACAGAGAGGGTAAGGCTCCCTGCAGGGTTCCTTAAGCTAAATCTGGAGAATCGAACGCTAACTGGTTCAAGTATTAAATAATTTAACTAAAAATGTTTACGTTTAATTACTAAAACTAAAATGTTTACAAATACATTTTTGATGACAGAATTAATGAAAATATCTACAAATTTTAACAATTACTAAGATCTTTTTGGAAGAAAAGTGAATTCAGTGCTTTATAAAAGAGATTGATTGAATTACAGGTTATTCTGAACTGCAAATCACAAAAAGTTTAATTGTCTTAAAAAAAATATATTTACTTTGAGAAAACTCCTTGGTCATTGTGAATAAATATGTGACGTTACTTGTGATGAACTTGATTAACTGGGCTGATTGCTATGCACTGTTGCATTGTGTCAACTCATGGTTAAATAGAATCAGGATTCTTACTGAAGACAACACTGTGTGTCACAGTTGTGCACTGTCACAAACTGGTAAGTTTCTGTAATAATAAGGTTTGTGGAAGTGAAGCCTGACAAGGTCCTTTCTCTCAAAAGAAAACCAACTGGTTTACAAAATATGTAAAGAATTTCCCTTAATGAAATTAAATCCCTGATGCAAAGTCTGAATCAGAGAGAGATTTCACCGAGCCACAAATCCCTGCAGGGTGTCTCATCTCTACAGGTTATGGAATGACACACTGAATCAGGATCCACAGAGAGGATGAATCTATTGGTTAAATGAAGATAATGACAGACCCCATCAAGCAGTTAGTGTCTGGGCAGTGGGCACATTTGGGTAGTTTATTCGAGTTCATTGGAAGGAATTGATGAGTCAGTACCCATTCGTTATGTGAAGGTAATGGCTAAAGAAAAACTGAGCTGCTCAGTTACATACTCAAGGTATATAACTGGGGTGAAAACCGTTAACAGTTTAACATATCTGAATTGTCTGTATTTGCAGGCAGTGAGTATTCAAAAAAAAAAAAAAAAAAAAAAAAAATAGTGGATAGAAAAGACCCAAAAGGTGTACAATTCATCCAGATGATGGAGCAAAAAAACAAGAAAAAAGAAAAGAGCAAGCATAAAAGAAAAATATCTTATAAAATAAAGTAAAAGTTAATAAACAATGATTTCTTAAAAATATTTCTTGAAGGTATGTCCTCCTGGGATTTTACTTTTTGTTCTATATCTTTTGACTTATTTGAGCTCCACTAAGTCCTGATGTGCTCAACTCAGGGCATCCTGGCCTTATCGATGACATCGCATGTGTTTGGGTGGCCTCATTTAGCTCCAGAAGATCCAAAGCTGGTGTGTGCTTTACATTACTGCATCCGGCACTTTGCATTGAGTTGTGGGGAAGTAAGGTTTGGATGCAGGTGCTAAACATGGATACACATTCCATGAACCTCTTTGTACACTGTTCTTCAATTAATCTGAAGTTCACCTGAAGTTTGGAGGTCTGAAGCGATCGGACGTTGGTGACCTCTGTGCAATGGACCCTGCTCTGATTTTGTGGCCTATCACTTCGTAGCTGTGTTGATACTGTTCCCAGTCACTTACACTTTATTACAGTACCACAGTTTACTGTGGAATATTTAGTAGTAGTGGATAAATTTCACGCACAGGTGGCATTATGGTTCGCTGTAATTCACAAAGCTCGTGAGAGCAACTCAATGTTTGCAGAAGAAGTCTGCACTCCTAGCTGCTGATTTCATACACTTCTGGCAATAACTGGACCAGTTGAATCCTTTATTTGGATGGAGGAGTGAATACTTTTAGAAATACAGTGTATTTTGATTTAAAGAATGGTTCACCCAAGTGGGTCAAAACACCCCCTTATATTGCGGGGAGATAATTTTAAGGTACTACAAAGACAGCAGCACAACCTATTGGCACACTAAAATAAACCAGTGCATCAACGATTACCATTATTCTTTCCACCTGTGCTTTTCCTGCTCTTCCAAATAAAGACCAAAGAGATCAAAGTGTGGCAAATAATACTGGTACAAGAAATTATAAAAACAACCACCAGTGCTACCCCTCAGCCTCCTAGTAGATACACTTATGGTTTCAATTTCAAAATTCTATGTTGCCTTTTTCTCAAGTTATGCCATTCACATGATTTTCAGAAAACATTATTTCTGACATTGAGGTCAAGGTCACCAGGATCCAAAAACTTCCAAGATTTTTAGTACATGTACCTATGATATCAATTTGAAGCTCGTAAGTCACTTTATTCTATAGCTTTCACATTCACAAACTCGGGTATCTACGCCGCCCGCTCACCTGACAACATCTGCCCATCAGCCTTTACAGCAGAGGGGTAAAAATGGTAGTTATAAAAGTCTCATTTCACATACCCTATGATTTCTTAAACAGTGACACATGAGTGTTAAGATGGAAAATATGGATTGTGGATAGGACATGTCGCATGGATAAAGGGAATATGAGCATATCTGCAGATTCACCAGTGCTGACATTGACATTAAAAATTAATTTGACCGAGTACTGACCCATGAGTCTGCAGAATCAAACGCTAAATATAACCAGCCTGAAAGTCACCACTTCTACAGAGTGACAGCATCGTTTTAAATGGGATATCAGCAGTTGGATTCAAGCAACAACCTGTCCTGACTGAATGAAATTCAATAGCAATTTAGAATGTGAGTCAATAGGTAAGACTCTCACAGTAAGTGGGCACAAATTCAAATACAAATATACCATCTTTCAGCCATAAAAAAAACCCCTCATGTTCACAACCGTTTAGAGACACAAATGCAACACTAACATCCATATAAATGTTGTACCAAAGCAACATATAAGGATGAAAAGGCTTAACTCCCAAGGGAATGCAAAGGTAAGCAGGTAAGTGTTTGAACAGTTTGTGCTAAAAACCACTCTGCAAGCTTTTAGACTTCAAAGCCTTTCTCAGTACAGCCTGAGAAGCAGCCAAGGTGATGTGAACTGAGTTCAGACCAAAGTACAATTCCATTAAATCTTGATGTGACAGTAGAGTGGGGAAAAAAACAGGTCTGGATTTTTACTACATTTTAAAACTCCATTTCTATTTACTTGATCATAGTTACTGAAGTGAATCTTAGTTTCTTCCATTTCTATTTGATAAGTTAACCTTCATTTCATATTTAGATATGTGAATTTGACACAGAGGCACCACTGAATAGACTAGCTGACTGTGCCAAAATCCCAAATGTGACATAATCTGAAAGTTACTGTTTGCACAGTTGAGAAAAAACACTGATGTTACCAGAACAGGTGCAGGACTCATTACAAATTAAGAGTTTGTTCAGCCTCTAACCAGCACTAGCGTGTTCTTTGGTTTGGGACAGCTGAGGGAGAGCCTGATGTGGGTAGTCAGGGGTGTGAATTCAAAGTAGCCAATCACAACATCATGTGATGACAAAGTGAGAGGGTCAACTTAAGCACAGTATCTGCACTGTAACTAAGGTCCTGTGAGTTTTTCAGCAGGCAGAGCCTTTTTCTTTTGTTAGTGTGGTCCTTGTGGCTATACTTCTATAATATTGCTGCATTTTAGCTGCAGTATCTCAATTATTTGGTATGTAGACTTCCTAGAAAATGCTGCATATATGGCTGGGTGCCTGCATTTTAGTTTAGAAATGGCTGGATGTTTGGTGCTGTTCATATGTCTGACTTCACGTATTGGGTGCAGCTTGATGCATCTTTCACAAAGATTTGGCTTGTTTATGTTTTGCGCATAAACATGTGCAAAAGAGAAATCTCTAAATTATCAGTGAAGGAATTTAGGCTGCTTACAAAAAGTTAAAATTGTAATTAATCATCAAAAGTTTTACAGTTAAAGTAATAAATAAGCCAGCTATATTGATTTTTTAAAGCATATTTTTAGTGGGACATCAGCATAATATCTGAACTCCTCTTAGGAGTTGTGTGTTTTATTACCTTTCTCAGTGCGGAGTCTCTTGAACGAGTCAGTCTTTGAAAGGCCGGGGTCAGAGATGACCTTGGAGCCCAGTTTCACTGTCAGGCTGATGGACTGGTAGCCCTGCGGTAGCTTGCGGTCATACAGAAGTGTGAGTAGCTGGGCCAGGGTCATCTCAGGTGGGAGTGGCTGACCTGGAAGGGAGGACAGAGTACACACCGTTTCTCTTCAGTAATATGTGAACATTTTACATTTTACTCAAAGACCTGCGCTTGTCGCTGTCTGATATGAATCGGTTGTGTTTGTGGCACCTGGAAGCAGCTTGTGGTAGAGGTGGAAGACAGGGACACTGATGGTTTTAGCTGAAGGATCCACACTGGATGAAGCAGTTAACTTGTCACTCATGACACGGCCTCTCCTTGATGGAGGCCGGGGAGGGGTGGAAAGAGCTCGCTTTGATTGGGACTTTAAGCCTGAAGGCAGAGAAGAAAATAAAAATACAGAAATACAGAACAATATTTGTTTTTCAACAAAAGGCATCATAGCTTATATACTGTGTCATTATTAGGTGTGTAAATGACACAATAAGACAGACATACTGTACCTGAGGCTACTACAACACTGTAGTTGTCCTGGAAGCCGTTGTCTGCCTTCATCTTCTCTTTCTCTTCATGATTCTTCTTCTCTTTATCCTCTTTCTGCTCGTTGATCAGTTTGGCAGTAATGCTGGGTGTATCTGGATAAACAGACACAGAAAATTAAATATATATTTTGTCACACTTCTTGTCTTTTTTTTATTGCTTTGGTTTAAATAACATTAGCAAGCTAAAAGAAAGAAAGATGATGCATTAGATGCAAAATTTGTTCACCCACACAAGAACAGTCAGAAGATGATGTGTCTTATAGACATGCATATTGCCCTGTAACAGCAGCAGTGTATCAGGTTTTTCTATCCACTGTTCAAGGTCCCAGGGGGTGAGCTATTCATCATAGCTGCCTTGTACTTAACAGGTAATACCGAAGCTCACAGCATCAGCGCTGCACAGCTGACCTTGATAGCCAGAGAATGCCAAGTGAATTAAACTGCAAGGACAGAGCTGACTGCTGGGATATTTTGTTAATAATTTAGGCTGTAATTAAAACTGCAGCTCTTATAACTGAAAAACATGACTTCTCCAGTTCTTAATCAAATTTTGTTTGGAATTTGAGAAAGGGCTGCCCCCTTGTGTCCTTACTTTACAAAGCCAGTTAAACTTGAAAAGCGATCACCTCTCCCTTCTTTCTCCAAACATAAACAGGATCTCTATTCTCAAAGAGCTCTAGTTTTTTGTCTCAACTGGTTAAAGGACCTAGTTGTAGCATGCATATTCTTTTTCCCAATTGCCTCAACATACTTCAGATTGGATTTGTGTTCTTCAGAAGTGTTTTTTCGTGGTCTTTAACGTTGCAGTTCGTTCCTGTACAGCTTTCTAGTAAAAGTCTTCTTTGAGACTACAATTCCTGACTTGGCTAAGTCATTCACTAATGTCTTGGCAGTGGTTCTGTGGCCTTTAGACCTCACTAGTCTCATTTACAAAATCTACAAATCCACTTCCTACTTCTGCCAGGCTACTGTGTAGCTCTCTTAGATTTTTTTTTTGATCCCTCCCCACATCAAAGTCAAACGAATCACCAAAGTTTAAATATCGTAACGCAGAACACTGATGAGAAACTGTGAGCTCAGACCCCAAGTGGCTACAATCCTCAGTGAAGCCAATAGCGTGCAAGCACGATAAGCCAGACAAAATATTCTCCACCAGTATTTGGGGTTACTGTTTAACCCAACTGAGGGCAGGGTGTATATCCTGCTCCCGCCCAGGCAGCACAGACACTCAGGACGCGGAGTCCATAGCACTGCACAAGCAAAGAGACAATAATCAGATGCAGAAGGACACCAGCCAGCACAATCATGGTACTAGGGCAGACCTGCAGCCTCAAAGGGCAGCCACCCAACTCACCGACTGCTGACTGGAAGCCCGTTGCCCAACCACCATTTCAGCCTGCCCCCAACATCAGTACTACATCTCTATGTAAATGAAGCTATTCTAAATTTTGCATGTGCCAGGCTACTGCTGCACATTAAAAGAACAGAGATAGTTAAGGTCCAATTCCACTTTGTAAAGGACCGGGGGCAAAGGACACCAGCCAGCATAAGTCCCAACCAATCCACCCAACCCAAACTTTACAATTGCATTTCATCCATCCATTCTCTTCCGCTTATCCAGCCTATCCCAACTACCATAAGGCAAGAGGCAGGGTGCAGGTTGCCAGTCTGT